CACTTCCTACACACATTGCATATATATATATATATATATATATATATATGCAAAAATTAACCCTTAAAAAACATTAATCACACATACACGCCTTGGTAATTAGGTAGATTAAGTATATGCTACTGGCCTGATCCAGTAATTTTTATTCATATGAGTATTATTCACTGAAGGCAACAGGACTACTCACATGTGTAAGGGTTTGCAGGATCAGACCCTAATGATGCAAATATGAAACACCTAGCTACACTCTTAACATTGCAGATCATTGGTTTCCTATCTTTGACTTCCAGGTGGCAGCTCTCTCAAATCCATTTTTTGCATTTCTGTAATCATCAATTGCTTGTATAATTTCTTCCTGAGTATTCATCACAAACGGCCCTAGGATAGAAAATAATTTTAATCCAATATTTTCAGCTGTGATCTGTTACTTAATAGAGAAATTAGTTTTGGAACACACACAGTTATATTATTTGTGGCTTTAGTCTTTTGCCACCTGTTTTCTGAATGCAACATTCTACCCCTGCCAACCAGTTTTTCCCCAGTGATTGTGGCTTGACCTTGCTGAATTGGGTCATTCAGGGATGGCACGGAGTTCCCTTCCCCAGGCAGGATGTGCTGAGTCTTCTGCTCTCCTCTGTTTCTCCCCCTTCTTCTCCCCTCTCCTCCCCTCCATTTGCAAGGGGAATCATAGGGTTTCAACAGGTCCTTTGCCAAAAGGGGAATTTCACCCTGTATGAATAGTGCCTTTTCCCACTACATTATAATCAGTTAATTAACCAATCATTTTAATTCAAATACTATTTAATCTAAAAATATTTTTAAACTGAAACGCCTCATTTAACATTTGGCTTCTCTGCTCTCCTTCCCACACCGCTATCCATCCCAAGTACAGCACATGACCCTGTTTGCTTTACTGTAAACTTCCCTTCGGAGGCACTACTTCAGTGTGCTCTAATGTGGGGAGGCAGTGTGTCCTAGTGGCTAGAGCACTGGACTGGGACTTGGAAAATATGGGATCTCTTCCCAGCTTGGCGACCTGGGGCAAGTCACTTCACCTCTCTGTGCTTCAGTTTCCCCATCTGTAAAATGGGGATAAAGATAGTGATGTCCTTAGTAAAGCGTTTTGAGATCTACTGATGAAAAGTGCCATATTAACAGCTAGGTATTAGTAGTAGTGCAGAAATTCTCAACAGTATTGTTACAGAGGAGGTCAGGTCAATGCTTCCTTCTGGCCACAGATTCCATCGTATTTACAAAATGAAGTCAAATGCTGCAGGTTCAGAAAGTTATATTTAGACTCCCCTTTAAGAACCTGACCCAAAGCCCATGTAAGTCAAGAGAAGATCTCCTGTTGACTTTAACAGGATTTGAATCAAATTTTAAAGTTTTTAATGAAGGCAGGGACAAAGCAAAGAGAGTCAACAGAAGTGTGAAGAAACTCTAACTTAACTGATTTTCTAGGAAACTATCTGCACCCATGGTTCCCAACTTTCCCCCTGCCCACCGCACCATGTCCTGACTCAGATGTCTTTCATTTTCCAGTACACAACTGTCACCCATCGCTGTTAGTATCTGAGAACTTCCATCCCCTCCCCCACAAAAAAAATCAATAGCAATAGTGAAGACCCTAATGGATTTCAGGAGATTTTTTTCAGGGTTCATGTTATTTTTAAAATGTTTCATAAAAAAAAATAGATGGAAAACATGATAAAAGTGAAAAGTACGGTACTTTAAAAAATATAGTAATATTATATTTTTAGAATATAGAAATACAAAGAACACACCTTGAGTCCAACAGCACTATCTCATATACAAACAAACTGGCTGGAGAACATGGGAGGCACTGACTTTCATTTTCAATCACTGTATTTGTGATGGAGAGGAACATAACAAGCTCCAAAAGCTGGCAGGTATGGGAGATGGCCCACATCCTTTGAATTCTTTCTGCTAGTTTACAAGACAAAACCATCAACCAACCAACCAACCAGTGGTTTGTTTACTAGAAATGCTTACCATGTTGTACCACAGATTCCTTAATCGGCTCACCAGCGACTAAGACAAAATGGCTTATTTCAGGACCCTAAATTGATAAATGGAATGCATTAAATAGCAACATATATTTAGATTATGTTATTATAGATTATATTTAGACAGACATTTTACAGATTGTCACAGGCTGGCTGGCCCTTTATGGGGAGATAGGCTCAGCCTCGCCTGTCACAGATTAGCCTCTGCAACTGATCCTGACTGGCTGGGGAGCAGGTGGCTCAATTCATATATCAGACCCAGCGGGGGAAGAGCTGGGTGATGGGGGAGCGGGGAGCCTCAGCTAGAAGAGAACTACAGGGAGAAGGGGTCTCCTGTGACTGGCCCTGGAAGGAGAGGTGGCATGGCTGGAGGAGGCTGGGAAAGACCAACCTCCCCACAGATGGCCTGGGAATAAGTATCCAGTCCGGGGAGAACCAGACTAGGGAAAGGACTCCAGAGAAGAAATCCCGAGGCCAGTGGCTCAAGTCGGGGCTGGGCCTTCAGCATTGTAGCTCAGCACTGTAGGAATGGACATGGTGAAAGGTAGCCCAGGAGCAGCAGAAGACCCTTTGGTTTTATGCTCTTTGAACTGGAGACAGCTACTTGACAGGGCTTCCCTGAGCAGAGGTAGGTGTGCTGCAGGATGGTTCTTGGGACTAAGAGGGAAACAGTGGTAGAGTCAGTGCTGCACTGTGCCACAGCAGGCCTCATGGGAGCACAGGGGGGGAAGTGGTGCCACACAGACAAAACAAGGAACAGATAGTTTTCCTCTGGTATCAAATTATTTCTGTATATTATCTCCCCATGTGTATACTTTAGTGTGAAAATTCAGGTGAGAAAATAAATTCCTTTCAGGTATTTAACAACAGATTATACCCAAGGACGGGTCCAGACCAACAGCTCCACATGCTAAACAAAACAAAAAGAGAAGCACTGGAAACAAAAATCATCTTAATCCAGAGACATGTAGCAAAACATTAGGGCATGATTCTATGAAGCCTGCTCACTGTAGTCCATCAAAACCAATGGGACTACTCACATGAAAAGGGATGTGTAGGATCAGGCCCTAGATTATCAACAATAAAATATGAGCTCAATAGAAGCAGTGAATTAATCCTGACCTCAAAATAACATATGCCTTCATCACATTTTTTGCATTTGAAACCATTAATTATAGGATTCTGCACCAATTCAAGTTTCTGTACTAAGCAAAGTTCAGGAAGCTAACATAATTCCCAGCTAAAATCATTAAGCAAGTATTTGTAAATTGATCCTATGAGGGGATCTACACATTCCCTATAACTAATCCACACACAGAAGACCTTTTGTTCTCCTTACAATTACAAGGAAAAAGAAAAATTGGGTCATTATCTCAAATGTCTCAAATAAGGATCTAATTTAGCTTTAATAAGATATTTATGACACAGCAATTAAATGCTGATTTTAGGTTTATCAATGAACAGACACACATTATTAAACTTCTAAAAGATGGTTTTAGTGAAAAACTGTTGTTAATATCATGACTGTTGCAACCAGAAACTTCACTCTAGACATACTAGAACAGTGTTTTGGAAATGTAAAGCTAAGTGCTGAGTTTGATCTGTATATATATATTTTTTTATTACTAATGGTCAAACAACCAATTTAGGCCCTGATCCTACAAATTACTCTATGCTGGTGGACCCCTGAATGCAGGCAGAGAAATGGGGCGCTGTGCCAGCACAGGATTCTATCTGTACCAAGCGCTTTTCAGGATCAGGGCCCTAGATATCTGCAGGATGATTGTTCAGCTTTAGCACATATGAATGACAATAACCTGAATTCACTGCTCAGTAGTATAGATAGGAGCATAATCTGGCCCTAAGGCCTAGCCCAGAACAGAGGGCAGTGCAAGGCCCATACAGCCCAACAGGAATATCCAGGAGGAGAGCTGGTTAAAAAAAAAGGCAGAAATAAATCATCAAAATGTAGAATACTTTGACATGTTTCAAACAGCTCTCTCTATGGGAGACACTGTGCTCAAATCTCCTGGAGACAACAACTGCTGTGCCACCCCTTATTTCATATTTATTACAGTAGCACCCAGCGAGATTTTCCTGAGGATCAGGGCCCTATTGCGCTAGGCGCTGTACATACACATTCAAGGAGATGGTCCCTATGCTGAAGAGGGTGCAATATCCCATCTGTAGCAAGCCAGAGCTACTGGCTGCTGTGGAGGAGTGGTATTCCAAAACCCTGCCTCCTCTCTGCCCTTTTGATGCAACTCATACCCTTAAAGGCACTAGCCCACAGAGCCACTGATCAGGGCACCAATGGCTATAATTAGGGCCCTACCAAATTCACAGTCCGTTTGGTCAATTTCATGGTCAGAGGATTTTAAATCATAAATTTCATGATTTCAGCTATTTAAATCTGAAATTTCACAGTGTTGCAACTGTAGGGTACTGACCCAAAAGGGTATAGAGGGGGGGCATCACAAGATTATTGTAGGGGGATTGTGATACTGCCACCCTTGCTTCCACGCTGCTGCTGGCTGTGGTGCTGCCTTCAGAGCTGGGTGGCTGGAGAGCGGCAGCTGCTGGCTGGGAGCCCAGCTCTGAAGGCAGCATCACCGCCAGCAGCAGCACAGAAGTAAGGATGGCATGGTATGCTATTGCCACCCTTATTTCTCTGCTGCTGCCTTCAGAGCTGGGCCCTCGGCCGGCAGCCGCCACTCTCCGGCCACCCATTGCCACCCTTACTTCTATGCTGCTGCTGGCAGTGCCACCTTCAGAGGTGGATGCCTGGCCAGTAGCCGCCACTTTCTGGCCAGCCAGCTCTGAAGGCAGTGCAGAAGTAAGTATGGCAATACCATGACCCCCCTACAATAACCTTGGAACCCTGCTGCTGCCCCGTTTTGGGTCGGGCCCCCAGTTTGAGAAACACTGGTCTCCCCTGTAAAATGTGTATATTATAGAGTAAAAGTACACAAAAGACCAGATTTCACGGTCCATGACACATTTTTCATGGCCGTGAATTTGGTAGGGCCCTAGCTATAATTGTGGCTTCCTGCAACCCAGGAGATAAAAGAGAATGGAAGCTCTTTGTATTCTCTCCCCTTTGCAGGTTGGTGCATGGGCTCACTACTGTGTGGCCCTTAACATGTGTTTATATGACATGTAGTCAGAACACAGCTGAAATAGTTACCAAACATTAACTACAAAGTGGTGAAATGAATTCACAATTATTTTGTTTTTCTTGTTATTTCAAAAATACCCTCAAATGTTATAAAACAGAATAAAAACCCCTCGCTTTTCACTGTAAAAAAATCTAAGAGGAAATTTAACATAAAAGAGAGGGGAAGAGAAAAATATGGGGATGAAAGAGTTAAGGTACTGGACAACAGGAAAAAGAGGAGGAGAGGCAGGTTTCTGGTGGAGTGAATTCCACATCCAATGCCCACTATAGCAAAGACCTGGTCACATGCTGGAATCTGATACTCTGCTGTGGTCCTTAGAGGGCAAGTGGTGTCAGAATGTAATTACCTGTCCAGATGAGGGTTATGGAGGAGGTAACAAATATAGCCACTAAAGGTGTAAAAACCAAGATGAACAATTCCAAGTCAACTTGATAAGCAGTCAATGTACAATAAGCAAGGAAAGTGTAATATGATCCCAGTGCCCTGGAGCAGTGAACAAATGTGTTGCTGCATACTGAAGAGACTGCAAGCTAAAGAGATGAACTGTTGGATGCTTTGCAAGGAGGAAATTACAATAATAGAACCTCATTGTCTTAAAGGCACGTATTGCTGTTGCAAAATTGTCACGGGACACAAGGGTGTAGACTGCACCAATTGCACAACTGAATAAATACTTTTGGACCATGCCAAACATATGATTTGTCAAGGAAAGACAAGACTGCAAGTCACATCAACATCCTTAACCTTGCTCACTATCTACAAGTGATTCCCCTTAATGAGCAAGCAAGAGAATCCACATGGCTACTCCTATCCATGACTTCTGCATTGCTAGTGCTGCAGACAGGGTAGATTTATTTGGCATTTAACTTACCCCTCAGTCAGAACAATGTTACATATTTCAGCAGGGAATAAGATTAACAAAGTTGATATACTATCTGCTGGGTTTTTACTGCAGTCATTTGCTTACAGATTACACTAAAATTCTACAGCGAGTAGGGTGACCAGATGTCCTGATTTTATAGGGACAGTCCCAATATTTGGGGCTTTGTCTTATATAGGCGCCTATTACCCCCCCACCCCCATCCCCATTTTTCACACTTGCTGTCTGGTCACCCTAACAGTAACAGTAAGGTAATCAAAGTGGCTACTGATTGAGAGCTCACAGGCTAGCAAAGAAATCTGACTGAACATTCCTCACCTATAGTAGCCTCATGCAACTGAACAGCTTTGGTAACAGATTGTACCATGGCTGCACCTTGGGGTGGAGGTCAGATTATATCTAAGTGGCAATTACATTTCTTTGAAGATGATGTACTTTATAACAGAAACAGAAGATATAAGATTGGTTTCCCCATGTGCATTTTAGATTCAGGCCAAACCCTAAGCAGTTAGTGGGACCACATGCATGAGTAACGTGAACAGAATTCAGCCCATCATGGTGGAATGCAGAAAAAACCCTGATATCTGTGAACTCATCATAGTTACATAAAAATGTAAATGAAATGTTGGCATTTTTGGAGCTTTAATCAGATCTCTTGTGCTATAAAATTTCTGGTGATAAGTGACACAAAATACCTTGTTTCCATTTGACCGGCAAATAGGATGGTCAGGTGTCTGGTTTTCAAGAGGAAAGTCTGGTTGTAAAGGGGACCTGACAGTGTCCGGTCAGATCTACTGACTGGACATCCAAAATCCAGTTACTGTGGGCCGGGGAGGTGGGGAGGCACCGAGTCATCACCTGCGCCAACCCCTACTCAGCCAGGGCCACCTCCTACCTGCATCAGGTGGCTGCAGCTCCCAACCCTGGCTCCACAGGCGAGTCCCTCCTGACCCACGCAGGGGGGAGAGACGCGGGGCAAGGGTGAGGCCGAGCGGGAAGGGGCGGGACAGGGGTGGGGCCTCAGGGGAAAGGGGAGGTGAAGGGTGTCTGGTTTTTAAATATTACAAAGTTGGCAACCATACTGGCAAAGTCCTAGGGGCTGTCTCTCAGTTGTGCTAATGGTTCTCTCACGTTGCTCTGTCAGAGAGTAAAGAGGCCTTAGAGTGAGCAGAAATGGCTCCCTGAGGCCCAGTTTCCAGTCTCTGATGGACATAGTGTGGCCTAGATGTACTATGACAATTTTCTACTTCCCAGCACCCAAAGGAGACCATGAGAAGTAGAGTGTAAACTGGAGCTGCCCTTAGCCTAACTTACAGCAGGGGCCAGACAAGATTCCGCCTGGCCCCAGCATATAAGGAGTGCAAGGCGGCTTAAAGCTGCTTTTATTTTCCCTATATATCCCCCCTTCCATCTTTGCGCAAAATGCAGGAACTGAGTAACTGATGCCTGGATCCACCAAGGGACTTAGGCACTTAGAAAAATCACAGAGCAAACTGTGATCCACAAAGCTGAGTTAATTGTCTAGGCTTCCTACACAATGAATGGGGAGAGAGAGGTGCCTTAGAATGTGATCCACAAAGCCAGCATGCTAGGTAGGGAGCCGCTTAAGCTAGCCAGTGGGAGAGATGGATGAGAGGGGTGTGTGCTAAACTCTGTCCCTCTCACAGAGTTAGGTGCCTATGTCCTGGCTGCAGGGAGGCGCTTATCTCTGCTTGTGAACCACGAGCCAAGGGAAGACAGGCACTCCTCCACTAACAAACATGCGGGGCCTATCCAGTAGGTGTGCTCAGAGGCTGCCTAACTCCACCCAAAACAGCTAGGGAGTGGGGAAGGAGGAGGAGGAGCTGGTTCAAGTTCCCCTGTCCCTGCTTGATGAGGAGAACAGGAGACTGCCGCCTCTCAAGGGAGTGCCCTAACCACTAGGCTACAGGGTATTCTGATGTGGGTTTCCCTCAAGGCTGCTTCCCCACTCTGAACTTTAGGGTACAAATGTGGGGGCCTGCATGAAAACTTCTAAACTTAACTACCAGCTTAGATCTGGTCTGCTGCCACCATCCCAAAGCTAATTCCCTTCCCTGGGTAGCCTTGAGAGACCTTCACCAATTCCCTGGTGAATACAGATCCAAACCCCTTGGATCTTAAAACAAGGAGAAATTAACCATCCCCCCTCCTTCCTATTGCAGTTATTCCACTCTAACTGAATAATTAAATATTAATGGAGCCAGAGAGTAAGAATGACTCTTTCGCCTAGTGGTTAGAGCACTCCCTTGAGAGGCAGCAGATCCCTGTACAAATCCTTTCTCTCTCTGAAGCAGAGGGGGAACCTGAACTTGTGGTCTCCCCCATCCCAAATGAGTGCTCTCACCACGGGCTAAAGTTTATAAAGGAGCTCCCCCTCCGCCCAGGCCATTTTGTGTGGAGTTAGTTGGCCTCTGAGCAGACCCAATAGATCTGGCCTCATAGGTTAGTTAGGCAAAGGCGTGCCTATCTTCCTCCAGTTCATGGGAGGTGGCACAGGGAAGCTAGTGCTACTCATGCTGGATGTGTTTGGTGAATCTATCGAAAACCTCAGTCTCCAAGGCTGTGACTCTGCCCCTTTTCATGACCAATGCCATGTTGTTTTATTTACACCTTGCAATGCACTTAGGGCCTGGGACCGATGGAGTGAATACATGTGAATGCATAAATAAATCTCTCTATCTCCTTCAAAATTCCTTGCATGGTGTCAAGTATCAGGGGGTAGCCGTGTTAGTCTGTATCTACAAAAACAACAAGGAGTCTGGTGGCACCTTAAAGACTAACAGATTTATTTGGGCATAAGCTTTCGTGAGTTAAAACCTCACTTCTTCGGATGCATCC